AATCGGGATATCGTCGCAATGCGAATTACTTGCGATGGTTCAATTTCAACTGGTATCATTTGATCATTAAAAATCGTTAGAATTTAGGATTAAATTATTTGATTTTGAAACTTTCGATTTAATTGAATTTTGCTTTACCATTTACTTCGTGGATCTCTGTCGCGAAGAGTGATACAAAAGAGAGAAACAAAAATAGTAATTTTACATAAATTATTATAGTCGTAACACGATGAATTGTAGTTGTAACACAACGAATCAAATATAACTTCAAACATAAGAATGCATTAATCACTGTTGTCAGATTAAAATTAAGAGTAAATTTGCACGAATGTCCAATGATTTACCTGGAACAAATTTGCACGCGATCCACGAAAGAAGAGCGGTGGACGTGTGATGATAAATGTGGAGAAAAGACGCTTGGTTGTATTTTTTCCTCAGAATGAAGATGACGGTGTCGCTCAACTCCAGGATTTTCAACATTAACAGCCTCCACACCCATCGAGCCATCTATTAAATACGACATAATTCTCGTAATATCGAAATTCACATTTCTCGAATGCTTTTAGCACTTACACGATAAGATTCAGGATCGTTCGAAACGACATGAGTCTCGCATCCCAGAGAAAATTTTGTAGTGAAGCCTGACGTAAGTAACTTTAAACATAAAAAGTTATATTAATCATTGTTTAGAAAACAGATACATACAATAATAAGATGTTAAAAATATAAGAAAGCAAAATTCCATTGCTTGCCAGTTTGAGATCACAATAAATACTTTAAAATTTATTAAAACTTATTACTAATAATAAAAAAAAGTGAAAAAGATTTAGTATTAATTCGATTGATTCAAAACATTTAATAATTGTTCAGTTCTGAAACAGATAAAATTTAATTTGAGACTGCTATAATTTTAAATCTTGTTGTCTATATAAAATTATAATTATTGATTTTTTTTCAAATCTAAATCATTTTGAAACTATTAACTAATAGTTTATATTATGGTAAATTATTTTGATGGCTTACTTTTATTTCAACTAGTTATATTGAATGAACTCACCCCGTAAAATACAGTTCCGCTCGCGGTTGCCATAGAAATGTTATAACAAATCATAAGTTTATTTAAATTGAATGGTTTTCGATTTTTCATGCAAAAAGGTCCAAGTCGAAGAACGAATAGTAGATAAAGACATATAATTCCTAGCAATGGGAAAGGATTGCTCATTAAAAACCAATCCGCTACTCTGGAATCTAGAATAAAGAATTAAAGGAATAAATAAATTATAAAACGCAATTCTGTATTATCACTTAATTATAAACTGTGTATATTATAAAATGTATATGGAATTTTCAGTTGATACTATAGTGACTCGCGACAAACACAATAAAGTTCCATATACTTTTTTTTAGTCACAAGTCAGAAAATACCAAAAGTCACACAATTAACAAAAATAGATCTTATCTTCTTATCTTCTCTGTATGATTTTTATATGTACGTTTAAGACAATTGTTCATACGCTAATTTTTTATTAAATATATGTCCGCAATAAATTTCCTGCAACTTTTATAATCACGATAGAAGTGTCTTCTTCCACTGGCAATGTTTTGTATAACACATACACAATTATATTCACACAAATTTTCTGTCATTTGTAGTCTCGATTCTCAGAATAGAAGCATTATATTTAAATTATTCTGTGTAACTGATATAAAGTAAATTGATAGCGAAGAAAGCTAACCTGCTGCATCTTCCATGACGTAACGATACGTTTCCAAGAATCCCACATTCTGCAAATAGCAAAGAAAGTATCCCAAACGATCTCACAAATATTAGAAACAAATCAGAAGGTAGAAGCAAATTTTATAAAGAAGCAATTCAAGTTACAAAAGTAAGAGACAAACGACAAATACATGCAAACTCGTACAATATAGTCAAATAACTACTTACTACTATCACCATATTAAATTATCGAATTAAACTTATCCTTGATGTCTGAGAGAAACTATAAAAATATCCCTTGCGGATTTAATATAAAATTAAAATCTTTAAGTAAAAATGAAAATACAAAGATGAATATCTCTTGTTTCTAACAATACTGATAGTGAAATTTACAACTATTCACGAGTTTCTCTCCGAACACGAATTTTCCATCCGATTTCAAATGATTGACTTTATAAAAATGTATTCTGTGCATACAACTTTTATCCAAAAGTGACTTCGCAAACAATTTCAAATTGTTAATTAAATTTTAAAAGATGGAAGGAAAAAAGTGAATACCTGTGGCACGTGAATTGGGAGAGCCTTCCCATCCTGGCCGTCGAGTTTGAAGATATCGACTGACATTCGGCTTACTCTACGATTCGAATGGTGACTATCGACGTTAACACCGTCTTTCGTGGCGGCAACCTACTATCTAAGTTCATCCGCAGGGCAAGCACCCCTAGCAGTGACTCGGGAACAGGAACGTAACACACAAGCACAGTTCCCTGTAAAGGGTTTCTCGCACACCCTATTTTAATACGATAAAGAAACGCGTTCAAGACTAGTATAACGAGGCATATTGCTTGCATATCGATTGCGAATTGAGTCTAATCGTTGCATCTCTGTTATTAGCAGACTGCCAATGTCTATGTATTTATAATTTATATTTATTAGATAAAAATGCTTTATTGTTTATTTGCTTAATAGCACTCGTGAACATAACATAAATTTTCATGTCAAACAAATCGCAGTCCAATTGTTGCACTCAGAAAAATCATCAAATATTTAACAAGTTATATAGAATAGATCTAAGAAATTCAATAATTCAATAATTCTGGATATTTCTTGAGAATGATTTGAAAATATACTGGTAATTACTACTTTAGAAGATTTTCTAGACTGTTGTATGTTAAATGAATTTATTTCTGTTGGAATCAAAACGATAAACTAAAAGAATAAACGAATATATTCGACATTCCTGGAATTACATGTACATTGACAAGTTTAAACGATCATTAGAAAAAATTTTAGAATAATGGTAAAAGCACGTTTAATCTTATTGATACAACATATTAATAATGACAATTATCTCGAAAAAAAGCAATTACTACTGAAAAATAATTTTGAAAGATCTTTCAGAAAAATTATATGTATGTAGAATAAAAATAAATAAAATAATCAAATTTCTGCAGAAAAGTCAATAACGATAATAACGCATATACGATTAAATATAAAATTTAATCACATAGAAACTTTTACAAATTTGCATTCTATCATTCGAAAATTTATTGATTTATGCTTAGATTAATTAATTCTTAAATATTTTCAATTTTTTTTTACAAATTCCATGCACTAATCACTGTGACATACATTTTGATTAAAATACACGGAACGGTAACAATTACGTATCATAAATGGACTAGCACACTGGGTCATTAAAACTTTTATGGCAAACATCTAAAGACCTACTCTGAAGAAAAGATCGATTTTGATGGGTTTATGAAAAAAATACAAAATGTTAATTTCTCGTTGTTATTATTACCAAGAAGTCATGTTACGTAAATCAAAATGTTCATAAAATGAATAAATGTTCAACGTAAATCATCGAATATATTCCAAAATTTATTGATTGCATAATATGAATGAAAAAAAATTATTCCACTATTTTAAATGTATAAAATCCTTCCCATTTTAAGGATTAATATTAACATAAATAAATTAATATTGCAATCGCATAAATTTCAGCAATTGTCGCAAAGTTGACCAATATAATGGAATGATTTCGTTTCAATGATTTGTTGATTTTTATAATCTGCTGCAAAAAGATTAAGATAAATATAAAATATTAGTGTTAAACAGAACAGCAATGCAGAAATAAAATTATCCAATAGTTCAATTAAAAATTCATAAAATTTCAATCGATTTAATTTAATGCATCAATTTTCAATCCGTTTAATATGGACCTTATTTTAATCCATTATCTTTCGAAGTGAATTCGCCAAAGCATTTTCAATCAAATAAGCGCACGAACATTATACGAATAAATTTTTGTTTTCCCTGATACAATTTACGCATCAATGGAAGTAAAATAAGCATACGCTGTCGTCGTTAATAAAGATAATAAATTCTACTTTAAAATTCTAAATCGAGGATAATGCGTTTCATTTTGACGAGATAAAACATAAAGCGTCAAAGGATTCTCTTATGTTAGTTTCAAACGGAAAACCGTGCTGCGAATGGTTGCAAATTATTATGCTCCACATAGTACGAACTTAGTCCTATAGATATACATAGGGCTTCTCTATATGCTGTCACTTGAATCAGGATTAGTCAACCGGTGCGTTGCGACACCACGATCTACAACGAAGGCAATCGCGAATTAACTTCGTACCTTGACATTAGAAATTTACTGGCGGCCCGTTTCCTAATCAAATCGACAAACTGCTAGCTAGGTCTCACCTATTTAATCGGAATCAATTGATTTTCGTGAGCGGAATTTATTTATGCTTTTGAAAGGGAACCACAGACAAAAACTTTTAATTAAAACGTACAATGCAGCAATTTTTCAACACGATAATGAATTATAAAATGCAAATAAAATGAGATGCAAATGAAAACTTGATGTCGCTATTCTTTGTTTTAGGTGTGATGTAATTAAATAAGAATTTATAAATTAAATAACTATTTGAAAATTAAAAATAACGTTCAATTATATGCATAATATATATGTGTAGATTATCACATAGATTCTCCGAGGTTCTCTAATTCATCGAAGATGTAAAGGATATCTTGCATATCCACGCCTGAATTCTGAATAACAAATCGGAAGAAATTTGGCTTTTCATGGAGTGGTTGATAATTGATCATTAAACTACCCCTTTTGGTCATTTTCTCCTTTAACTTTGGTGCAACCTATTGAAATAAGCAAATTCTTAATGAATACATTTCTTCACTATATTATTTTTTAATATTATTTAATATTTAATATTATCTTATTTTCAAGAATAAATATTTGTTTATAGGAATAGTTACCAACAATAGATATTTTTAAATTGCGTAGACAAGATTTGTGCTATTAGTTATGTACTAACTGCTAGTAAAAGAGAAATCTACATTATCAGAATTTTCAATCTACTATCGATAAAATATGAAAAAATTTTATTGTCTACGATAGGAAATCCAGATTTCTGTCATATCTATCCTCATACCTATTCAATGTAGTATTTTTTAATTAACTTATAAAAATGCATAATAATATCATACAGATAAAATACATATCACTCATATAATGCAATTTAACTATTATATTATGGTTTATAAATGTATTCTCAGTAAAATACATATAAAAAAAAAAATGAATTCCATTTTTTAAATCGTGATACTTAAGTATAAAATTTTAAAGCTCAATTCATCGATTTTTATCTGATAAAATTTATCGATGTTACTTAGAGTTAATTTATATTAATTAATATGTTATAAAAGAAAAACTTAAACTAATTGTATTTAAAATAATTCTTAAAGCATTCTTGAAACATTAAATATAATATATTCAAAAAAAATATATATATACATATACATATACATAATAAATAAATACATACATACACATATATACATATGTATATAAGATAACAATTTTATAT